GTGTCCTCGTTGGGACAGGGATGTGTGTTGGTGTGTGGGGTAGCCTGTAGGTTTATATTGTTAAATGATGATTATGAGACAGAGTAACATGAAAGTAACGCAGTGAGTAGTGTAAGAAATGTCTTTCTCCTGGGTGTAATTAAGTAACGTGCTGCATTACTGTTACGATTCTGGTTAACATGTGCAGTAACTTTTTTACTACGACTCCAACAGCGATCACAACAAAGAGGGGAAACACGTCCAACACTCACACACGTTTGACCTTGCAGCTTGTAATGAATTTGCCTGATTGTAGTGGAGACAATGAGCGATATCGTGGAATCAGACCTTAGTGCTGCAGCATCATGCAACCTGTCAAAAATGCACACTGATGGGCCTAATTAACAGGAAATGACCCCGATCCCCCTTATCTGTTACGCTCGCTGACATACCCCAGTCATCACTATAACAGGGCAGCTGTGGTCAGACGTTTATTTACCTTTATTAAGACCAAAGGTGAAATGATCATTTGGGGCTGATTCCTTTGAACTGTTCCTTTTCCAGGTGGAATGATTACACTGCTTACACCTTTAATGAACTTCAAAACAACAATTGGATATACAAGTTTTCATGGGTGTAACTTTGTGCTGAACATTTGGGGCGGTCAAGAGCTCTGTCTGAATAAATAAATAAATCTGGGTAAATTCCCAGATAATTAAACATGCAGCTATTTTCCTGGTAATAACTGAAATGAGTAAAGAAAATCAACAGCCTATTTATGCAAGATAATTCATCATTTTATTGGAGGGGGGTTTGATTGGCTGGGTCTGATTACTGGGGGGGTCATAACCCCCCTAACTCCTCTGGAAATGATTGCCCTGCAAGTTTTCCATTTATTTGGGATTTCAGGTAAAAATATACGGACACCTAGAGCTGGGCGATATGAGATTTTTTCATATCACGATATGTTTTTTTCATTTCAGGCGATAACGATATCTATCACGATATCAGCCAAATAACTATATTTGTAAGATTTAAATGTGCCGTTGCTCACAAGTAAAATGTGAAATAATCAGCAGCTTGTTTTGATTTAAATATTTATTTCCCATAATAAGTTCAACAGGGTAGATGTACTTAAGGAACATGAGACTTTTCCAGATAAATAAAGGCAAATATTGCAAACTACACAAAAGGCAGCCGCTAAAG